TGATCTTTTTAGTTTCTTTTAAATAGTACTTTTGAATAATGACGAATTGACAGAGCTCTAAGCGGATCTCGCTAAGTCATTTATAAGTAAACGAAAGTTTCTTGAGTTAATTATTAGCAAACTGATATAAGTTTTCACCTTTCTATCATTATATAGGACATTTTATATATTAAAAAAATACGCACTGAAAATCAGCATTATTTGCCAGATTAAGACTTGTTGTAATGCCGTTTCTTATATCAATACATTATATGTAGATTGACGTTAATTTCGGTTCAACATCCTCATCTTTTTCTAATTCTTAGACCTAAAAAAGGTGAAAAACAATTGAGTCAGTCTTGAAAAATAGTGGCTTAATTTTCATTCTTTAAGAGTGAGAATTCGTCAGAATAAGATTTACTCTAAAGTATCGATTTGGAGAATAGAAAAACTTGACATATTGTAGATACCGATAGTACCTTGTTTATATACTTGTTCATTGACCAATACAAATGATACTTTTGTCAAGAGCTTTTATCGACATTACTGTCGTTGACTATCTTCGAGAGAATCGATATTTTAAGAATCGCAAGAAAGATTAATTGTTATCCCCGTACCGTCCCCAACTCCGTTGATCGATCGATCGATAGTCAATATGTTGGCACCCGCTTGAATTCGTATTACGCGTCGCCTTCTCGCCTCGTTCTGCGAGTCGCATATATGCGGCCAATGCAGCAGCCGCGCGCGCATTCATGCCACCGCTCACGTAGACAGTACGTGCCGTTCGAGAAACGCGGGCAACGTGCATAGCTTTCCTTCCCGTGGTGGCGGCGATGCACGCCGCTCCTCGTCGACGGATGCACCGGTGTGGTGCGGCGCGGAGCGACACTCTCGCTCGATTCGATTACGAGCCGCCGCGGCTGCTGCTGCTGCAGCATTGGCCACCACCTTCGAGGACGGATGTTCGTAAGCGTCCGTGCGTATGTAAACGGCGGTGATTTATAGCCATTTGCGAGAGTGCCTGACGCGCGCGAGATGCGGCCCACTTTTGCCTCCTTAACCGATGAAGAATTAACTTTGACGTCGCGCGAATGTCAAGTCTACTTTAATTGAAATCGGAAGATAAATACGGTAAATTCACATCGAGTTTCTAACTCGATGCGATTCGATTTCCTCGGCTCGATTCCGTCGTTTCATGCAGTCTGATTCGATCTTTCGGCTTTCTCTTAATTCGATCAAGGAAGAAAATCTGTCCGCTAATTGCAATTGTTTTAAACGTTCGTTTAGCCAGACTTTTGACGGGTGTAACGGCAGGCATTGGTGGTGTTAAGTACTTTTATATTTTGTTTATTCCGGAAAAAATTACTCTCGGATGGACAAGCTAAGCTTAAAGTTGCGGAAAAATGCAGTTCACGCGCTGCACTACTCGTGCATCTGCTTGCCTGCGCGCGAAAGAGTTCCTTCTCGTACGCGCGAGTGCGCGCATACCGTGCATACCGTTTCTTCACCTTGGAAGAATACGCGACGACACACCGGGTGTCCGCGATCCCTTTGCGATGTATACAAGAATAATTAATCTTTGCGCTGGGGATGATATTGCTAGCTTTTTTTTTTTTTAGAAATTATAAATTACAATCGCAAACGATACTTTAATGATGGAAACTGTATACGAGCAAATAATTATTAAATTATCGTTGGAATTATACGCATCATATAGTATTGGAATTTAATAACAAAATCTTTTTTATAGAAGAAAATAAGATACTCTTCGAAATTACTATAAATTATTTATTTTACTTATGAGAATATACATCTCTCGTTTTTCAGTTAAAGAAGTATACGTAATTTTTGGACTCTATATGCAAATTTATAGTATAATTGTATCACAAGTTTGCCGAATTGACGAAGAAGTCAAATCAGCTGCGATCACCATTTGCTTGCCGTGCGACACGAGAGATGCGATGCGTGGGGGGAATTTTTCTAAAGTAACAGTAAAGAAAGACCGAAAACGCGCATTCCGAGCTATCACGGGCGCGTGTCCGTCCGCTAATAGAGCGTGACACGCGCTCCAAGAGTAAGCGAGAGGTGCACGTGGGTATATTTCTCCGGTATGTGGCGCACATCCTGAATCGAGATCCCTCTCGTCCTTAGAAGAAAGCGCGAGGTACACGCTCGCGGAGCGCATCCAATTAGCGGCTGCGCCACGATAATGTACGCCGATATGATAAAAGCGCTCGCTAATTTCTCGCATCTCACTGTATAAGTGAAACGATATAGAGTAAACGGTATGTCGTTAGAATCCCCGCCCTCTTGTCCTCTATAACGTCCATCCGTACCTCGGATCTGGCTGCTTACAAGTATGATAAGGAGGAGCAAGGTCGGCAGCGACCCGAATTTTGCTACAATGTACAGTCATGAAGAGACGTTACGTCATCAAAGAAAGAACTGATTTATCTCGAGATATAATAGACGCGAAGAAAAAGAATCGGTATGATTTTTTGCGGATTTTCCTGACGTCTCGTGACGCCACACGCTGAAAAATGTTCTATTATTGAGAAAAGTGGTTACTTTGTTTACTTTCTTTCTTTGAAATAACGGTTATCTTTAATAAAGAATATTTTCTTAATAATAATCTTGAATTGATTACCGATTTAAAAAATTTATTATTATATATATATATATATACTCTCAAATAGGAGTAATTAAAAATTAATTCATATTATAAAATTTATTGAAGATTTGTATAGTAAGCAAATTTATTTTCATTTAATAATTTTCATTAAGAATTAAATTGACTTGGATTTAAAATATATTCTGAATAAATTTGATGTTTGCGATGAACTTATAATAAATGTATAGATATATGAACTTTTTGAATTATTTGAAACATCATTGCGAGTAGTATGTATTTTTCTGTTTGCAAGCTTAATAAGATACGGTTGAATATCGATAAAGCACCAAGCGACGAAAAGTGTGAGCTCGGAAAGTAGATGAAGACGAAAGAATGAGCGAGCAGAGTTCATGTTACAACGATGCACGGGGCAGACGAAGTGAGCAGGAAGTGACATCCGGTCGGTCGGCCGATCAGTTGGTCGGTTGGCGGTCTGTCTCTCTCTTTCTCTGACCGGATCACACGACATCGTGCATTTCGTCGTTGCTGAGGGCTGCGTCATGCCGTGTGACTGTCGATGGTCTTACCACAGTCGAATCATCCCGCTGTCTGATTTTATATCGCTCCGCCGATGCGTCACGAATTCTAACTATACATAGGGTGTCCCAAAGTTCCCGAATCGCAAAGTTTTAGCAGGTGCGGGATTCTCTAAATGTCTTATCAATAATTGTCGCTTTTGTTAACTAGCGATAGCCAATGGCAGAACAATCCTGGAAGAAAGCGCGGCTCTCATTGGTTGTCGCTAGTTAACGATAGCGATAATTGGCGGTAAAACGTTTAGAGAATGTCGACCCAGGTCATGAGTTGATCTTTTTTTCCACGAAAAATGTCGAGCCATATCGCGGCTCTTTGAGCCGTTAATGACGCAGAACTGTTTAAGGAGCACTTGGGAGGAATATAAATGAAATAACATTTTTTTTTTTTTTTCACTTAATTTTACGAAGATCTCGTTTTGATAGAACTTTTTTTTGAGGATGATACGTGTATATAACGTTAAAGGTATAAGAAAAGTTGCGTGGTATGTGGTGTTGATAGACACTTGATTGATACGAACGCTCCTGAATGTTTGTTAGAAAGGTGCAAATATCCCGATGCTCGCGAGAATGAAACATTCGAAGACGAAGAGACTGAAAGCGAGGTAGAAGAGAACGGTCGTTCTTTCTCGTTATCGAAAAGGCGTGACCGCGCGAGGTCACTGATAAACGATAACGGATAGAGTCTTTCTCTCTTCTTCTTATCGACGTGTGCGAGAAACTATGGAGTCGACGAAACGCGATTGCTTTCTAAAATAGTATGCCGTTTCGTTCGAGAAAATCGATAGACGACTGACGTAATGGTTGCATCGATATTAAAGGTCCGGTCACTACAGTCACGATGGAGTGACTATGACGTCAGAAGAAAAAAATGGAAAGACCGAATTGCTTTTTTTTTATTAATCACATTTACGATTGCGAATTTATTATAAGTTCTTTAACTTCACACACTTTTTCTTTTAAATCAGGTTTATATCTACATCATTAGAGATTAGCAAATACTTTTATCTAAGCGTTTTATTTCTTTAATTGAAGCAAAAATTATAAAGAAATTTCGCAACTTCAAGTGTTAAATACTAATACTTGTCCAGCAGTTTTCGATAAATATCGAGCATTTCTGTTATTTTTTGGAAACTGTTTTTTATGCTATTACCAACAAAAATAATACACACACATCACGCTTATGAAATTATTTTTCCTGATAATTGATCGTAATAGCAACAACAAGTTTAAGATCGCTAAATTGAGTCTCCCTTTATTCATAAGAGATAAATTAACGTGGTAATGATAATCGATCGACTTATTTTGATAAGAATGCATCATTGTTCAGCTGTTGAAACTCAAACAAGAGAATTTGATAAAAGCATTGCCGTAATAATATGTACTTGATGCTCTTAACGAGTTGTTTCGAACTGCGACCAAAACTTGCAATCAGAACTGATACCGTAGATTATGTTTATCTTTTCTTTTTCCTTTCAATCATCATCTATTCTTAGAGAGCCATTTTGTTCTCCATTACTATTCTATAAAAATAACTTCGTAAAAATGTATAGTTTTATGTATAATTCGTGAATGGTAAATATTATATTTTTGTCATCAAAATTTACAATTTTATCTGGAACGAATAAGAAAGAGAATAATCCCGTTCAATTGAATTTTTCAAATTCCATTAATTTTTTTATTCTATATTTATAATAATTCTTTATTGTTATATAAATACATATTTTATCGTGCGTTATTAAAAATCATACGTGCAATTATTTGCTTATGAACGATCAAATAGGAGGAGGATTAACCGAGATTTTTTCAATTTTCAGAATACGAATGGACCGAGGCCGACGTATGTGGGCGCCAACAACGGTAACGCCGGCAGCGCCGGAGGCGGCGGAGGCGGCGGCGGTGGTGGTAGCGGCGCCGCTAATGCAGGCGGCGTCGGCGTAGGACCTGCAACCGGCGCGGGTGGCGGTGGCAGTGGTGGCGGTGGCGGTGGCGGTGGCCACGGATTGAAGGGCAACACGGGCGGTGGACCGCGCGGCGGTAACCCGGTGCAGTACCGCGCGAGCGGTGGCGGTGGCGGCGGAGGTGGTGCGGCCGCCTGGAGTACGGCACCGTCTCACGCGGCTGCGGCCGCGGCGGCAGCAGCAGCAGCCGCGTATCCACCTTACACGCGTTATCCGAGTGCGGCAGCAGCGGCAGCGGCGGCCCCCGCGGGCGGGGGCGGTCCTCAGCAGCTACCGGCATCCGCGAATCCTTTCGTCACCGCCACGTACGCGCAGCACGCGACGGTAAGTCATACACACAGCATTTTCCATTCTTCGTGTTGACTTTCTCCATGTCAATAAACACGAGAGCGTCGCACTACAAGTACCACAAAAGCTGGAACGAGACGTAGGTCACTTTGATAAGCGTTTAATGCTCTATATGCGATATTTACTAATTGTTCACGTGTAAACGTGAACTGTGAGGAAAGAAATATGTTCATTTATAAATTCAGTGACTTGTTTGGAATATATATATAAAATAGCGTTTTTATTTTTATATATAATACGTTAAATTCTCGCTTATCTGAAAGAGCATTGTTGAAAGCTTTCGCTGCATTTCAGAATGAATCCTAATTAAATGCGAATATAACAGTTCCGAGATAATGGAGTACTATAATTTTATATATTTTTATTGCATGCAAGTCATCAATTATGTTATGATATGATTTATAGCGGAATGTAACTTCATGTAACATTTATAGCTCTTGGCACACAGAACAACGTAATGCAATAAGACATAAACAATATGCGAAGTGGTTAATCACATAGTTGAAAATTTAAGACAATAATATAAGTAGTAGCAAATTAAAAATGTTGATTTTTTTGCTGTTTACGTCTTACTGCTTTAGTTTTTTTATGTATCACAGTCTTTAGTTTGTTATAACACGAGTTTAAGATAATACGTATTGCATCGACCGATAGGCGATTCGATAAAAGCGATAGGCTCTGTAAAATCAATTGTTCTTTACTCTTTTCGAACATCTTCAGTTATCGTACAGTATTGATGCTTACAGTACGGTGGACAACGGGTGCCTACAGCTTCATCTCCAGCAAATACTAACAGCAGCTCCAGTAGTGCCACCGGCAGTCAAAGCGGGACAATGAGCACGAATCTCAGCAACAATGCCATGCAGGGTCAACAAGCAGAGCAGTTGTCTAAAACGAATCTATACATCCGTGGCCTCAACCAGAATACGACTGACAAAGACCTCGTTAACATGTGTTCTCAGTAAGTAACGTTATTATATACGTGATCGTAGGTATTTGTATATCATAATGAATTACATAAATATGAATTCCTCTTGTTGATGCTTATGTCGTATTCAATTTTTGTCGAATCAAAATTTTTTATTCAAAGTTCTTAGTGTTATATATACCAGATAATAATTTTGGCAATCGAATCCGAATCTTTTGCTTGATAAATGACATTAAATGATTGCTTTGGCACTGAGCATTCCAAATGTAAATTAATGTTATTTATCCTAATATACTTGATTATAGGTAGAAATTGAAATCGTGTCAAACACGTCAAACCAAAACTCAATATTTTTGCAGGTATGGAACTATAACTTCCACCAAGGCGATTTTAGACAAAAATACAAACAAATGTAAAGGTAATTAATTGCACTTTCTTTCATTCTTCAGTATTTTCTAACTTTTTTTATTTTTACACACACACACACACACACACACACACACAATTTACATTTGTTTTAAAATATTTATCTTGTAACTATTTCAATGAACGTTACGCGAATTTTTATAATAAATTTCTATTTAAATAGTAATAAATACACACGTGATAGATAAAATATTCCTTTTTATGATAAAATTGTCAACAGAGGTTTATACCATCGTGATTGTGTTGCAGGTTACGGATTTGTAGACTTCGAGTCACCGATGGCGGCAGAGGGTGCTGTGAAAGCACTGGTCGCCAAGGGCATCCAAGCGCAGATGGCGAAAGTGGGTATCTGGTTGCTCCGTAGACTGGACAGTGTACGTGGTTGTGCATGCAAGTACAGAGTAATACCAAAGTAACAGTAAACCTCTCTCTCTTTCTCTCTCTTTCTCTTTCACTCTTTCTTTTTCTCTCTTTCTGTTGTTGTCTGTATCATTTTTTATCCAACTCTGTCATTTTGTTATATTCTCCATCTATTTCTTCGTTCGCCTTCTCGTCGCCCCATTTTATTCGTGAAGTCGTATCGTCGGAAAATCGATTAAGATAGATCTTCTCACGCTATTTCCGGGTACAAAACAAGACGTTTTTTCGACTTCGATTTCTCTTCTGGTGTACCTGTAGTGTTCGAAAGTGTTATATAGCGTATTTCTACAATATTAATTGCAATATACACATATACATATATATATAATATATATATAATTTTTTAATTTGAGATTACTTTGTATTACTATTTTAATAATTTCTTATTTATTAAAGAGTAATTTTTAAAGTTTTCGTGCACGAAAGGATTTGCATTTACATTAATAAATTTTATTCAGTTTTCACTATATATACTCTATAAGATTTATCATAAATGGAAAAATATCTTTTATTATAAAAGATGTAAATGAAATGTTATTTTTTCATTTTATTGATGATACGATTTTATTTATTTCCATCGAAATCTAATAAAATATGAATTTCGCGAGAGTTGTGTTATTTCAGAGAAACCAAAGTATCCAGTAAAAGTTCTAAAAAACAGTTTATAAATCATTTAATACATGCAATTTATTCGGTAGTAAATTTATATTATATAGCGACGAGTATATAAATATGATATCTTTCTGTGTATTTTTCTATATGTCGGGGACTGTAATATTTTTTCCATTGAGAGTCTGTCTCTGTTTCTCTTTGCCTCTTTCATTTATCTAGAAATTTTCTCTGATACTTTGTCTGTTATTCTGTCTTACGTACCTTACCTACCAGACCTTTATCGATGCTTGCTGCTATACCTCGGCCACAAATACAGCCGATACTATGCTATGTCGACATTATGTCTATAATCGCCATGTCATGAGAATTGCATTTTGTGAATTTCAGCATTAATTTCGAATCTCTCTATAGAAATTCAATAATCTGTCGATATCCATCTAAGGTCGTATTCATAGTCACTATTTAATATATTGTAAGATTGTAATTTTATGAATTTCTAATTATCTAATATTCATTTTTTAGAAGCTGTTAGGCTTTAAATTGATTGATTTATAGATGAATGATATAAATTATATCGTCAAATATAATAATTAATAAATGATAGATTCAACCGTTAATTATTATGAATACTATATTTAATGTATAATACATTTTCAGTCTATTATGTCGATATTTGGTTTTATATAACATACATGTGTACAATCGATAATTTGATATTATGAAAAATAGTATTTATAATTGTATGACAGTTTGGCAGATGTCAAAGCAAATCCAATTAATTACTTGAAGCTTATTTACCGAATTGGTGATTATATAATAAACAAGAGACTGAGTGGCTATCAGTTAATAATTACGATTATTTAAATAGTAATTTATGAAATTTAACTCAGTCAAAGGATTTGTTTAAATTGGTAATTATATAAATATAATTATATAAATATGTTTTCTATTAGAGATAAAAAATATTTTATGAGATCTCCATCTATGAATACCGCCCTTGGAGCTTGACCTTAATTGTTAATTGAATAAATGATTTGACAAAGCGAGAAAAAAGAAAAATGTTATATTGAAGTATGGCAGCATAAGCGACGTATCAGTAGTAGCTCTAGCATAGTAACATCGATATATTTTGCAACGTACATTTATTATGTTTTCCGTGTAACATTAGCAGTTTAAAGAAAAGAGTAATTGTCTCAAACCGTAATATCAAATTAAATTTGTCAATGTCGACTCGATAGCAGTGTTCGGCGGTGTGATCGTCTATTTCTTTTTTTTTTTTAATAAAAATAATGATATGATTCGCGATCACTTATTTAATAGTTATGCTGATTTGATTTTATTAACTGATCAAAGATTCGATTGCATTTCGCCTGACTCTGCTTTGCGACAGTCGTCTCAGCCCCACGTTTTCTTGCATTAAATCGCGTTCCTGCTCGAGACAACCATAAGTAAAGAAAAAGCACACACTGCCGAACGAAAGAGTATCGGCCTCCCGCCTGTTTGTACTATTTGTCCTTGTACGACTAACTCCAATGGAATAGTTCCTCCAAGCTGACCGTGATAAAAAGCACGGGGTGTGATGACCAGCAGCTGTGTAAAATAATAATGATGATGATGTCAATCGCATGCGATATGATATAACTAAAAGCGAAACAGTACCGTAATTTCGGTAAATCCTATACTCGTATGGTTACGCGGTTATGTTCGGATATAGGCGTTGTTGTCTTTCCTCGAAGGGTGTTGGTTGGGTCGGACACACGTACACTTGTCTAACTTCTTTTATATACAAATATATAATGAAACATTAATCACACACTTTAATCAAACACACCTACAGGTTATGAAGTGCATTCGGGAGCCAGTCTTAAGATTCAGACAAAACGGGACCTCATGTTTGGTAACTAAACACTACTTGTACTACATAAAAAGAAGACATCAAACAGAACCGATTTATTTTACGTAAATCGCACAAATAACCATATGAATATAAAATGTTTATTACAGAGAGCCATAATAACGGAGTAAAAACAAATAATCGGAATCAGATAAAATGGACAAAACTACTCGAAAGAAAATGTCGATGATAAATCAAGCTGTTGAATCTTATAGAAAAGTTCCCGATAGCATAGGTCGTATTTTTAACGAATTTGTAAACTGTACTATCGGAATATAAAAAGTACAATTAAGACATACTTAATACAACAGAATTCGATTATTCGAACATTATTTAACCGGGTATTCGATCATTCGAATGGGTATATGAGAAACGTTCCATGATTGTCCGAATGATCGCTTTTGCAAGAAAACATCCGTTTGGACAATCGTATATTTTCTCTGTACTATTCGAATTATCAAACGTTCGGTCAAATAGCATTCGATATAATCAAATTTCTACTGTATCTGATCACATATACAGGATGTTGCGGAATAGAAGACGGTGCAATTGAAACTGTTGATGAAAATGAACAGTCGATGGGCTTGGAGTTTGCACACGTTTATTCGGAAAACAGAAAAGAGCTCCGCTTTATTATTAATTGACACCGTCTCATTCCATGGCAGTCCTCATACATATGCGCACGTGGATATATCCATACACGTATACATATGTATGTATGTATATGTATATATATGTATGTATATATGTATATAAATACATATATATTAAAATGCCATCAGCTTGGCTTATATATCATGATATTTTCATTATTTGTTTTTTGTTTTAATGCATTCGCAAGATTGAAGTAAATTGTCGTAAAGTATAAGTATATACTCAAGTAATCGTAGAATATTTTTGATTGGTTCGTTGACAAAAGTGGTGGATCTCGAAATATGCTTGAGGGTGCATACTATCTCATCAGTCTTTAGACACGCATACGTTTTTATTTTTTTTCTACATTCTCTTAATTTCTTTTTTCTTTCCTTTTCTTTTCCCTCCTTTTCCTCCTTTGTTTTATTTATCTTATACTCTCCTGTGAAACTCATATAACAGAAAATCGGAGCATGAACTCATGTATATGTACGCCATATACTACACATATATTATGTGTTTTGTGCGACTATACTCGTCAAGAGTTGCTCTCTTTTTCGACATTTGTTCATTACTCATATACAACATATAACTGTATATACATATATGTATGTATATATATGTATACGTAAAAATGCCTGTGCTTTTCTTTATCATGCTTCTCTTTCTCTATCTCTTTCTCTCTTTCTCTCTTTCTGTTTCCAATGAAATGTCACATGTTACTTGACCCTATTCTTTATTACCGCTTTGAATGGTTATTTGTAAAACCGACGAAGACGATTTTCGACACATGTAAATAACATTAGAAACGTGAAGATAGATGTACGTTATTCGTATATAGGTACTATTCTCGATCTTTTTTTTTTAATGCTGCCGGTGTGTAGAAATTTGGCCGCGTATCTTTAATTTTTTTTTTGCGAACGCTCTGTGGTAAATTTATAATGTGTATCGGTTAGCATACGTCACGAAATTTTCGAACGCCACGGTAACTCGAGACGATTATCAAGGCGCAAACGAGCGTTTCGTATCAACTTTCACCTCACGTGCACAATACACGGGAAAATTTGTCCAATTCTGTCTTACGAGGAATAAAAATGCGACAAGGTGTATGCATATGCGACGTACTTGTCTCGCGTTATTCTATATAAATTAAAGAAAATCTATTAACAGAATCTTGGTTGATAACCGCAGTAGAGAGTTTTTATAATTTGTATTTTATTTCATATTTGTATATTTTATCTTATTACATTCGATACCTTATAAATTCCTGTTTAATCCTTTTATTCGTTTTGTACTACATCTTCGTTCGGACTACTTTTACGTCTGATTTTATTTACGTACATTTGTTTTTATCTGTCGTGTCTACTTCTTGGGATTTTTTATCTTGAACTATAAAGAATCGACACGATTTTTTGATAAAAATCCGAATTTTTACGAGAATTGTTAATGTGTACAGTAATGTGTATGTGTATAGATTATAATTTAATACCTATTCGCGTTAGCATGCTCTTCTGCGTGCGGAAAACGGAAAGCCATATTTTTAGAGGTAGAAAGAAGTACGTTAGTCAAAAGAAATGAATCGAATGCATCCCTAGAAGCAAGCAAATTTAGAGAGCCACCAAGAATGTGGTAACGTAATTGCCATGAAGCATGATTACCTTCCGACATTGAGACTAAATAATCGTCTAGTCGGTTCCACGTTCCGATACCGGTTTTCGGTACCCATTCGTTCCCTATTTATGCACTCTTCGAAATTTAGACGGCGATTACTGCTTAATGGTCTCCTCGTAGTGTCAATGTTGGTAGAAACGTTTTACGTTGTGCTATTTACGTCGAGGCTAGCGATACTTTTCACGCGTACGGAATTTGGGTTTTTTTTTTCGCACGTGTCCGCGTTATTGCAATTAGAAACGTCTCGTTGCTATTTTGAGAATAACATTTGAGAAAACACCTTTTCATGTGTTATTATTATTATTTCAGTCGTCATTCGATAAACTCGCGAATATCATTTTAACGTTCCAGACTAAGCAAAAAAAGTGCGCAGTCGCAACATACTCATTTGTCACCAGATTATTCTTAATATTTTTTTTTTTAACTTTATGTCTATATGATGATGAAAATATTATTAGAAACAGTACAATGTATAATAGTAGTGGTATTGAAATGATTGGACAGATTTTGCAAACGTGTTCAATTGGTTTCGAATTTGTGCTTTATCGTCTCGTTTTGCCTATGCATCTATTTCTGATCGATCGAACCAAAGAGCGGTGATAGAAACAACAGTCGTGGAAGTTAAAATGATAATCCGCTTCAGATTTGTTTGGAATTCATTATATCCATTGTGTCGCCCTGTTATATGTAATTGCATAGTGTTTTTACTCTCTTCCCAGCAACAGGAGCAGGATCCCACTAATTTGTACATCGCTAACCTGCCGCTGACCTTCAAAGAGAACGACGTCGAGGCATTACTCGCTCAATACGGACAAGTTATCTCTACCCGTATCCTGCGCGACACTTCCGGCCAGAGCAAAGGAGTTGGATTCGCAAGGTTTTTCTTTTTCTCGTTTAATTTTTCCGATCCTTTAGTAAGAAGAGTCACAGAGTACCATGCGATTTGCGTATATCCTTGGAGAGCAAAGGACACGTCTTTGTACAGAAATCACGAATAGTATATCTCTTCTATATGATGAAGTTAGTTTTTCTTTTTTTCTGTACTAGAATTTAACTTGTAGATTCGCAGATAGAACCGATGTTTTTATTCTTCACATACACAGGAAAAATTTCTGTGTATATGAGGCACGGATGGGATCGAACCCGGATCCACGGATTGCTAGTCCGCGGACCGAGCACCGAGCCACCCGGCGCCTCAGATTCGCAAGGTTCGCATGAATCTGTGATAGTACCTCTTTTGTCTTTTTTGAGGCGTGAATCGTGTTTTAAATTATTTTGCTATGGCTCTTTTTATTTCAGTTAATACATTAGAATTTACGAATAATTTGGTGTTTTTTATAACTGCATTACAGAATGGAATCCAAAGAGAAATGTGAACAAATTATACAAATGTTTAATGGAAAGGCACTAACAGGCGCAAAGGATCCATTATTAGTTAAGTTTGCTGATGGCGGAAACAAAAAGAAATCGTTGTTCAAGAGTACAATATGGAGAGAGACTGGAGAGGTACGTAATTATAATTATGAAATATTCACAAATATCACGTATACTTGAATTAATAGGCAACTTAATGTACTTATATTTTAATTTTTTTAAAATAGTAAACATAGGTTATCTAAATTGTGTTATATAAAGTGTGACAGATATTAAATATTTAATATATAGAATTTTTTTACTTAAATATAATAAATCTAATTCTTTATATTATATCTCAAAATGTTTATGTAAATGTTTTGGTTTATTTATTTTTGCTGTTTCATTTTTTATATAAGTTATACAAATATTTATATATCTTGGAAACAAATCTTAAAATCTTTATCTATGATCATTGAAGATGTACCAGTGCTAGTTGTTATTATTTTTATGTTCTCTTTCAGAATATGACTTTGAACTACGACACAAGCGGCGTTGGTCAGAATGGCGTTGCTACAACTCACATGCTTCCCACGACAGCTCTGACACAGTACAGTCGTCACTACAGTCAAGCATTGCCTGGTTACAGTGTACCGGGCACTCCTTGGGTGGCTCCTTACCTCGTGCACCCTTCCCCGCCACATATGCAACAGGTCGACGTGAGTTTTTATACACTTTTCGTTCATTTTGTTTTCATTGTTTTGCACATAGGGTAAAGATAGCCTTCATATTGAGTTTTAATTCGAGAATTTATAATTTTGCATATGTTACGTATAATCGACAAACTCTATACATTTAACATTTAAATTAAACTAATGCTTCCTTCTTTAAAATAGAATTGCTCTTATTTTAGCGTTGTTTTCACAACTAAAAATAGTTATTCTTGAACTGAAACATTCGTATGTTTACGAAATTACTCAACTATTCTCAAACCATGTTTTCGGATACATCCTTTATTTCGTTTACAAAAAAACCGCTTTCGCTTTATATTTTAATCATGTTACAATTTTGTTGTATTTTTAAAATTCTTTTTCTCGTCATAATATCATATCGTTGCTTTTGCTTCATCGTCGGATTTTGTTAATCTCTGTTACAGATGATACCATCGGCTGATCCTAGTAATCCACAATACAGTATGATTCCTCAACTTACCACGCAAATGTCTACCTTGCATCTTGGCACTGGTTCCGTAAGATTTTTCTCGATTTTTTATGTCTGCTGTCTAGACACAAATCTTCGAAGAACGTCTCAAAGATTCACACATCTAAGTTATTTAACAATATAAAAAATTTAAATCTACAATATATAAAAAGATTTTGATATATTCCAGAATGTTATAAATATTTAAATATTTATAATGTGTTAGAAATACAAAAATTGTTTATTGAAAAGATCTTAGAAATTGTAAAATTAACTTAAGTTTTTAATAGAATATTTCTCGGACATTTGTGTTTCTGAAATGAATTGATTTGAGTCAACAATGACAAATGATAACTAATTGTTTTTTTTATTTCTTCTTTTCAGTACATAGCGAGCCCGCATCCTTATCCTTACACAACTTATCCCGCTCCTAGCATTATTCACACCATGCCACTGGGCGAGTCGGAGCAGACGAGTAACGCAGCGTCCCCCGACGACTCCTATCAGCAGTACCAGGCTCAACAGCCTAAGTAGGCCACGGTTTATAATAGGTCAGAATTCTTTCTTATTCTTTACAATACAATACTGTGGCGAACTATAAATTCCTTAGTTGACATAGTAAGACGACAAACGGACGATAAAGGGATTTTTCGATTGCAGATATACGATCGCGCTAAGGGTTACGTGAATTAGGAAAGGCTTACTGATTGACTTATGAAGATATGCGCAGAAGGAAGGCAACAAATACGAAAGCGGATTACATTAAGAAGAATAGATTTGAAACAAAAACTACATTACGTAACGAATAAGATTCTTCCTCACGATAAATTGACTTGCCAGCGTTTTTATACGTTTTATCCAACAGTAAATAGAGGAAAGTAGATGATATTTTGCAACGAGTAGGCAGAGTGAATGTTGAGAGAATGTGTAAGAACGAGAGGGAACGAGCGAGCGAGAGAAAGAATATAATTGAAGGAAGTATAGGAAGATGAGTACGAGAACGATTACGTGTCGTCCGCGTGGAATGGTACGTGCTTCCATACTAGTTATGGCTCCATTAAAGCTACGTGATGGTAACACGTACACTCTCATGTACACATATACAGAGAGAAAAAGAGAGGGAGAGGGGGGAGAGAGAGAGTGAGAGAGAAAGAAAGAGACATCATATACGACAGTAACGAAAAAACCAAGTTATTTACGAAGAACAGTTTAGTGTCAAGCTAATAGGCTTCCATGATGTAACTTTAGGTATTATGTTTACTATGGACAGATGACAGAAGCTAATCGAATCTAATCTCGAGAGCTCGACAGTATGGATAAGTATTTTAATGAGTGAGAGCGAAAGAGAGAGAATGTATGTGTGGATGTGTTAATTATAAAGAAAAAACGAGGAAAGAAGAAGAAAAAGTAATGCTCAGAAATATACAAAGAAGAATTCTTCCTGAGGAAATAATAGTAAATAATAATAATATACAGCAAGAACGAAAGAGAGAGAAGAGAGAGAGAGAGAGAGAGAGAGAGAGAGAGAGAGAGAGAGAGAGAGGAAGAAAAGAAGGAAGCGAGAGTGAGAGAAAAAGAGAAAATGTGTGAAAGAGAAGAGAGGATGTACTACTTCCAGGACGATTGAGAGAAGAAATTCAGAGATACAAAAAAAGGATACATTTATTCGAAACTCGCGAAGATTGTCAATGGTGTAGAAACATATACGTGAATACAATTTATTTTTTGCGATAGCACTTCACCTTATTCGTTCTCTCACGTGTTGATTACGTAAGATGCACAAAACAGACACTTATCACCGCACCCTCATCAAGTTTACGTGTCTTCGAGTTTTTTTCTTTTTTCATTTTTTTGTTTTTATATTCAGAAACATTCCAAAAACGGGATATATGCGCGCATCACTACGTGGAGATATTTTTTAATCGAGAATTCTGGAAGTACATCAATATATTTTTCTAGCGGCATCGCGCATCTCTATCATGTACGTTTCCTTATTTCCCTTTTTAATGACAGTGAAATTTTTTTATTGTAGATTAAATTTCAAAAATCGGGAAAAGACAAATATGACAGTAAAATTTGTTTCTAAAATGAGAGCAAGGGAAAAATGCAATTTTCAGAATTTACGTATAATTATTGTACGAAATACGGAAAGAAAAAAATAAAATAGTACTTTTTAGAGTGTTGTATTTACAATAATTACGAGTTAGAAACGGATCGATATAAATTTTTAATTGTACAGTAAATACAGATATTTTTTTTAGAATCGTGCCTTTTCACACAGATCCGTTAAAATAAAAGAAAGGGAAAGAGAGAGAGAGAGAGAGAGAGAGAGAGAGAGAGAGAGAGAGAGATATTTATATATATATGCAGAAGAAAGTCGTTATAATATATTTTTACGCATCGTTAAATTTGATGCGAAGCCAAATCTTAATTTTCTAATTAATATATCTGTAATTGTTTTTGTATTAAATCTCTATACATTTGTTTTCGTTGTCAATTTGATAGATTTTGTACGCGTGATAACATTATTGAATTGGAATTTTGTCGGACTGTATAAAAGAAAATGAAATAGACATCCACATTCAGTACAGAGACAGTCCGTAATATATAATAATAAGAAAAAGAAAAAAGAGATCTAGGAAAATCAAATTGCGACAAGTTAAGCAACATGAATGTGAGTAAAAGAGAGCGAGAGAGAGAGCGAGAGAGAGAGAGAGAGAGAGAGAGAGAGAGAGAGAGAGAGAGAGAGAGAGATTAAAGAAAAAATTCAAATAAAACGAAAAAAGCAGCATGACATTCTCGACACAAATTAAAAGGCTAGAAAAAGATCTGGAATGAAAATTTTTATCTTTTAAGTGTTTTACCCATTTTTTCTATAACAGCACCTTCCACGCTAACAAGTAAACCTACCCAAGCGTGACACTCCAATTTTGATGAGTTTTTAGTATTACTCTTTATACAAAAATAAGCGATACGTATTTTTTTTATACGTGCCCATACGTACTTTTAAGGGGTGAAACACCCCTT